GCAGCTATGGACATGAGATGGCTTCCTGGAAGTCCACAAGCACCTACGTTGACAAGTTCCCCCACATGGGGCGAACATCGTTAGTGGCATGTGGATCTTTAGGGTGAAGCGGCCGCCGGGTTCTCCGCCTGTCATCAAGGCACGGTACGTGGCTCGTGGCTTCAGTCAGCGGCAGGGAGTTGACTACTATCAGACCTTCTCTCCCACCCCGAAGATGACCACTCTTGGGTACTGCTGCACGTTGCTGCTCACCGTGACTACGAGCTGCACTCTCTTGACTTCAGCACAGCTTTCTTGCAGGGCAGCCTGCACGAGGAGATCTGGCTGCGCCGCCCACCTGGCTTCACTGGGTCGTTCCTCCCTGGTACCAGTGGAGTCTCCGGCGTCCAGTCTACGGTCTCCACCAGGCGCCCCGTGAGTGGCACGACACACTGAGGACTACGCTTGCGGCTCTGGGTTTGCTCCTTTACTGCCGACCTGTCGCTGTTCTGCGCACCGACACCTCTCTGCCGCGGTTCTACATCCTCATGTATGGCGACGACTTGGTCTTTGCCACAGCTGACACTGTGGACTCGCCTACGTGAAGTCCGAGCTGCAGAAGAGACACACATGCACTGACCTGGGTGAACTGCGCAGCTACCTTGGCTTGCAGATCACCCGGGACAGAGCACGCCGCACCATTACCCTGACTCGGTCACACATGGTGCAGCAGGTCCTTCAGCGTTCGGCTTCACGTACTCCTCGCCTCAGGCCACTCCTCTGCCTACTCGCCACTCACTCTCACCTCTGCCTTCGGATGAGTCCATAGAGTCGAGTAGCTCGTATCAAGAGCTTGTTGGCTGCCTCATGTACTGATGACCTGCACACGACCTGACCTTGCATACCCTCTTAGCATTCTCGCACGCTATGTTGCTCCTTGGAGACACCGACCAGAGCACATGGCTACAGCGAAGAGGGTGTTGCGCTACTTGTGTAGTACGTCGGGCATGGGGCTAGTGCTTGGAGGGCGGAGTCAGTGGTCCTCACTGGGCATGCAGACGCTTCTTCGGCTGATGACCAGGCTACGCAGCGGTCGTCACAGGGTTACACCTTCAGCCTTGGTTCCGGCTCTGTTTCGTGGCGGGCTACTTGCTCGTCTTCTATTCTCGGCTCCAGTTGTGAGGCCGAGATCTACGCAGGGGGCCATGGCTGCACAGGAGCTTCGTGGCTCACCTACCTGCTGACTGACCTCGGAGAGCCGCCTCGTTCTCTCCAGTTTGTACGTAGACAACAAGGCCATGCTGCCTTGTGTCGAGAGCAGAGACTGGAGCACGAACCAAGCACATTGCTCTCCGCTACTTCCTTGCTCGTGAGCTACAGCAGCGTGGTCAGTTGCGGCTTGCTTACGTGGCCTCTGAGGCCAACACTCCTGATGTGTTCACCAAGGCACTGCACCTTGTGATCATCAGCGCTTCTGCACTCAGCTGGGTCTTGTGCCTGTCTTGCCTCACTTGCTCACTCTTGACCTTGCTTGTACTGTCACATATATATATACCTACTTTGCTTGTCTAGCTTTATATATATGTGTACTCTTGCATGTGAACTGGCCTTGTGGCCTTGACCTTGTGCTCGAACTGTTTGGTGACTTTGAGATCCACCCTGAGCTTGCTTTGCTTGACTGGTCTTGTGAACCCTTGTTCTCCCCCACTTTGCCTATGGGGGTGTGTCGGAACATTATATAGCTTATACATTTGTGTAGGCTGTAGTGGGGATCCCGTAGGGGTACAAACCAATTAGGGTTAGTACTTGTACCCACTTCTTCATAGTTCATTCATCCTCTCGTTTCAGTTTTCTCCCAAGACCGCCGATGACAACCGTGACGAAGCCGTCTTCTGAAATCGATCCTCCACATCGAAGAAGCTTGTCGCGCACTCGCTCGCGGCAGCGACTCATATACGCCATTCCCTTCTCGCCTGGTTCATTCGGATTGTTGTCCCATTAACCGACTTTGGTTTACGCTGTCCGTGCTTGATACAGGTTCTTCAGGTGATTGTACGCGAGCTCCGCGGAGTTGCCATATCCTCGGTAAGTCCTTATGTTTAGCTGTTGAGTCGGGGTGATGTTCCTCAGTAGTATCGTGTACGCCATCATCGATTGATAGGTGTACTGCTGCTTCTCATACTGTGTGCCGTTTGTTGGGTATGGCAGGGACCCGTCGAAGAAGCCAAGGATTTGCGCTCCTTCCTCATCAGCTCGAATTCGAAACGACCAGGTAAAGAAGTCCTTCCCGTCGAAAGGTTTTGTCGTTTGCAGTTTTAAAACGTGCGCGAACTGCGACTGAACTTGTAGTGCGTCCAGCGTTCTTTCTTGTCCCGGTGCAGGTTGTGGTCGCGGCATGAAGCTGACGGAGCCGCGCTGGGGCTCATACGGAGCGAAGGTAGGTTGTTGTTGTTGATTCCCGTGTCCGTAGGATGAGCCATCGAGACTCATGGGCGACACGTTGTTGTTGTTGTTGCTGTTGTTTGATTGCGCAGGTACTCCTTGCTGATGCTGCTCGTAGAAGGACATGAAGGAGAAGAACTTCTCCATCATGCTTGGATCGAAGCCCGCGCCTTGGTTTGCGGGTGTTTCGGTAGACCCTGCTGCCGGTCTCGTTGTTGTGCTTTCCTCTGTCTGTAGGCCAGAGGCAGAGGAGGTGGAGTAGGAGTAGTACCAGGAGTGCCATTGGAGGAGCTCCTCTCCTTTCTGGTAGACATGTCTCTTGGTGTAATTGAAGGAGAAAATAGATTTTACCCTAACCAGCTCTCATACCATGTTCGGTGAAAAGCCCCTTAGGATCTTTGATAGGGTAAATCTCTGGTTAGAGTGATGTGGTAGCGGAAGCGTTTAATGATGAGACTTTGAACCACTTGCATTAGTATGTGAGAACAAAGTGAGTTGATTAAAGCAAACAAGTACAAAGGTTTATATAAGAGTACAAGGAATACGAAGAGATATGAATGATAACTGTTTTACTGTTGGCTGTTGCGGTTCGATACAGGGCGACTCGGGCAACTGCTCAATAATCGAGTCAGTTGTGTGTCCTTGCTGTCGCGCTGCTTCTGTCAGGTCAAAGGTCGCTGACCTTTGACTTTCGCGTACCTCCAGCGGTTACTTCAACCTCCGAGAGTTGACTCGCTTGTGCCTCGGTATGCAGTACTTCGCTTGTGCCTTAGTGTTTCGACACGATAGGAGCGCTTAACACTGTTTGTTTCCAACACATTTATCATCTCAGTCATTTACATTCACCTTGACCTGAGGTCAACACTTCCGTTGCAACATTACGTTGCGAACAACCTTAAGCCGATCCCTGGCTAAGTCTTGTTTAGGATTGTAACATAGACAAATAAATATAGAATAGAGAATGTGATTTACAAAATGTCGATGCAACGAAAGTGACAGGATTTAGTAAGGGCGAATCCCAGCCAGGCGGGGACGTCAGGTGAAGATGGCTCGGAAATGTGGCGATTGGTGCGGGGGCGACTCTGGAGTGGTGTGGTGTGGGATTGTAGGCGAACAAAACTGATGCATTGGCCCTTGTTCGCCATCGCTAAGAACCGATTCCTGTAATAATCACTTACAATGATGCTATAGTGAGTGCTCTATTTTTAATTATTATTCATGAAGTCTGAAATTATTTTGGAAGGGACAAATCTTGGTTTTATGGTATGGTTTAAGAATAATCGAATGATAGTATGATAATGAGCGGTCATATCTATGCATTTTGGCAGTTTTAGCTACTGATTTGCACTCGTGGTGATTTGGAAAGAGTTAATTGTAATTTTGTGCGATGCACATATCCTTTTGGAAATAAGTTTACAAAGGGTTGTTTGAACAAAGTAGTTATATATTCTGAGAACAAAAAGGAGCGTATTAAGTGGTTCACAAACCATGGGACGCTTACAGGTGTTCTAAGGTGTAATTTCAAACCTACGGAGGCTTTTTTCAGCGCGTATTCTTCGAGGGGCTCGCTTCGCTTCAGATGACGTTCACAGCAAGTTCCCCCAACAGCCTCGTTAATCTTCCATTCAGTAGTCTTCGGTAATATTCGGTAGTTTCAAATCGAATGCATTTCAGTCCCGCGCACTCATAATGTGTTTGATTTCAGATCCCACACATGCTTGTTCCAAGGTCCTCCCGCCTTTTTCTTCGAAATATCTTCTCTTGGCTTCATGCCGGTCGCACCGCCATCCATTCTGGCGCCTATCCGGACCTAGCAGCTGCCGTAGTGGCCGGCGCGCGCCATACAGTGCGCGCTGCAGCACTCCTCCACGCTGCTCGCCGCGCCACCTCACGCGCCATCCTGCTACCCCCGCGCCCTTCGCCAACCGCTCACACAAACGGGCGGCGTCGCCGCAAGCGGTAGATCTGGCGCACCTGCCAATCTGGTGCGCTCGCTCGGCTCACGCGCTCATTTTTCGGGCTGCACAACGTGACCGCTCCGCCGCACTCGTCTCTTCCTCGCTCGACGGACGACAAGCGACAGACGACGGAAGGGCGACCCGTGCAGCGATAGGGAGAGGGAGAGAGGAGAGAGTGAGGAGGGTGTGACGGGGGGAAGAAGGGGGACTGCGGGGAGAGAGAGTGGGCAGCAGCGGCGGCGGCATGGAGGTGTTTTTCTGGGCGGTGTTCGGCGCGCTGGTGGTGCTGTGCGCGGGGCTGGAGGGCAGCAAGGGGCAGCGCGACAAGCTGCAGACGTCGCCCGCCTTCGAGTCCTTCAAGAACAACTACCTCTCGTCTACTCGCTCATGATGGGTAGGGTTATAACGAGCATCATTATGATTCCTAGGGCTTATAACGAGTGTTCGTGATGATGGCGTGGATGAAATGAGGCATATTTGTGTGTTCTGAACAATTCTGCCCCTATCTCTTCGTCGACCTCTCCTCGCATTGCCTTGCTTCCAATCCATTGGCCGTTCTTGCATTGCCATCGCCTTCATGCATCCATCCGTCAAGGCTGCTCTCGCCATCCTCCTTCCACCATGCACCCTGCTGCCGTGGCAGCGGGCGACTGGTTGCAGGGGCCGTACGTGTACGCGCTGTATCAGCACTACGGGTACGACAAGGGCGACATCGGCCGCCTCTTCATCGCAGGCTTCGGCTCCTCCATGGTCTTCGGCACCATCGTCGGCTCGCTGGCCGATAAGCAGTGAGCATGCTGCATTTGGCAGGCGTTACCGAGCGAGCCTGTGCAAAGGTCATGTGTCACATCACTAGACTGTACTTGCGGGGTTGTGCCTTGCACTCTCACTGCCCCTCCCTCTTCCCTCTTGCTCCCTCGAACGGTCCTTGTTCATTCATTATAGATATTACAAGGTAGATGCAAACACATGCAAGACAAAACATACCACCTTCTACCCACCCCAGCATCAACTACCCCCCCACCCCCCCCCCCCGCCCCCTCTTGCTCCCTCTCTCTCTGACGTTCTCACTCGCACACGCGCACACAATCACATGCCCTCCCCCTCCCCCCTCCCCTCCCCCGCACGTGCATGGCTGGCCGGTGGGCAGTGGGCGGCGGCGCGCATCACTGACATACTGTGGGGTGTACGTGCTGTCGTGCCTCACCAAGCACTCGCCCGACTACCGCCTGCTCATGCTGGGCCGCGTGCTGGGCGGCATCGCCACCTCGCTGCTCTTCTCCGCCTTCGAGAGCTGGCTCGTGGCGGAGCACTTCAAGGTACAGCAAGTCGGGTCTTGGTCTTGTGCTCTTTTCGGTCCGCCACATGCAAGCCTGGCTGCACCACCCACCCGTTCCGCCACTCTGTACAGCCCATTTCGTGTCTCTTCTCCGTCCCCTCCCATGCGCCCTTCCTCCCCGTCCCTCCCAGCGTGGCTTTGAGGCGCAGTGGCTGTCGGTGACGTTTTCCTCGGCCATCTGGCTGGGCACGGGCTCATCGCCATCCTCTCAGGGCTGCTCGCCAACTCGCTCGTCACGTCGCTGGCGCTGGGCCCCGTGGCCCCCTTTGACGCCGCTGCGCTCGTGCTGCTGCTGGGCGGCGCCATCATCACAGCCACATGGCCGGAGAACTACGGCGACAGCACCGACTCCAAGGGCTGCTCGCCCAGTTCCACGCCGCCGCCTCCGCCATCGCTCAGGTGGGCTGCCATCGCCTCAGGTGGGCTGCCATCGCCTCAGCTGCGCCTCAGTGGGCTGCCATCGCCTCAGGTGGGCTGCCATCGCCTCAGGTGGGCTGCCATCGCCTCAGGTGGGCTGCCATCGCCTCAGGTTGGCTGCCATCGCCTCAGGGGGTGCCATCGCCTCAGGTGGGCTGCCATCGCCTCAGGTGGCTGCCATCGCCTCAGGTGGGCTGCATCGCCTCAGGTGGGCTGCCATCGCCTCAGGTGGGCTGCCATCGCCTCAGGTGGGCTGCCATCGCCTCAGGTGGGCTGCCATCGCCTCAGGTGGGCTGCCATCGCCCCAGGGGGATGGGGAGGGGTAAGGACGACGTAGCTACTCAACGGAACAGCGAGCATACGTGCGAGCGAGATGGTGGAGAAAGGTGAAGATGCGGTCTCGAGACATGGAGCTTGCAGGATGTGGCTGAGAGGAGAGGGGAGGATGAAGAGAAAGTCGTTGGTGTGGGAAATTGAGGTAGAGCATATAGAGCTCACGGTTCTTTCATGAAATCACTTGTGAGTTGAGCAGGTCAGGACGGGCTGGAAGTTGAAGGCCATTCTCAATACGATTGGTTGGAGGTTGGGAGTCTGGTCAGAATGTTTGGGATAGTGTTGTAACATCCAACCCACCAAAACTAGAACAAGCTAAACTATAAAAGTACAACCTTTTCACGCACACGGCGATGCAAACGCCAAGGCCGCCATGGCGGTCACCAGGAGCTTTACACGTGCCAATGTCCCTCGATTTCTTATCAGTTCTTAAATCTGAGTCTAGATTCGTACTCCTTAAGACAATAGGAAGCCGATGGTACACTTTTAATGTTCAAAACACGAACATTGATCATTTGGCCTTATTGTCAGGCACTCTCCAGGCTCTTTTGACAATGGTATCTCAAGGAACGCGATGGCACCAAGGTTGCTACGGTGGCTATTTCCAAGGTTTTTTCCTCTATGGCACATCGCAAGGCTTCACATTACTACTTATTCAAGCACTGGTGGTGGGACAAACACAAGTTTTGGCGGAGGTTGCTGGTTCACTACCCTCACTATCTGTCATCCTCGGCTGGTTTTCTTTCCGTCTCACGCTTTATCATCATGGCTCCGCCAGAAGGCTCTTCTGCGATCATTGCTCCGAGTGCTGGTCCTCAGGGGAGGAAGCCTGCGGAGGTTCGTCCTGAACCTGTCACCCCCAAGACTCTTTTCAATGGCGCGACAGCTCCGCGTGGTGCCGATGAGATCAACGCTTTGTCTGAGCGCACGTCGGCGTTGCGCATTAATGACCTGCCAGTCGAAGGCGGGGTCAACGGCGCAGAGGTCAACAAGCCAGTGGCGAACACGTCGGACAAGGGAAACGCAAAGATCCAGGATTTGGAGGATGACGGTGGCTACCTCAGCGATGACCCGGATGAGTGTCAAGATCCGGTGGTACTTAACGAGATCGCGGCACAAGCGGGGGTCGCCATCACCCTGCTGGTCCCCTTTGCTTGGAGCAAGGAGATCCCGTGCATCATTGTCACCGTCAACCATCTGCTGTCACTGTGGGGCAAGCACATGTCGGGGAACGTTTGCAAGACAACGAGGTGTCAGAAGCTCACGCCAACATTCCTCTCCAAGCAGCACTTCGGGCGTGTTGGGTGGTTTTCCTGCAAGAGGCCGATGCGGTTTTCATGAGGAGCAGAGAGATCGAACACTACACGACGAACGACAAGAAGCTCGTCCTGGGGTGGCAATACCCGGAAAACAAGGAATACCTGAGAGAACGCGCGGCTCACCCGGAGGCGATTTGAAGTGCTGCTTAAGGGGGTGCCGGCGGTGATCTCACCGGCAATGATCATGAAGAATCTGGTGACTGCGATGCTGGTGAAGCAGGGTCGTACGGCATTCCTTGACGGTTCTGCTTTCCACCGCGTACTGGATCCGGCGTCAGGATCGGACACAGACAAGATAAAAGGGCTGTTTTCAGGCACACCGGGGGTATAAGTATAAATGGTGGCACAAGGTCACTGACCGTGTTCATGGTATCGAGCTGCTGGTGTCGTTCCCTGCGCTCACATGCGGTTTCTGCAGCGGAATGCACATGTCGTGTTTTTCATCACAATTATGTTACAGAGAGGCAAAACAACATTGGGAACTGGAGTCTGACGCTGCTTCGCGCCCATGAGTTCAATGGTAATCACCCCCGCTTTCACCTTGTTTTCAGGCGGTCGCAGCAACGGGCCTCCACGCTTACTTCTGTGTCATCCTCCCCCCGAGCAGCTGCCTCTTTGAAGATTACGCGGCGGTGAAGACCCTGTTGGCGGATCCGGCAATGGCATTTACTTCTAGGTGGAGTCTGGGAGGAGTGGGTGTGTGTGCTCAAGAGGAGTGTGGGAAGGCCCATGGTACCAGCTTCGAGACGGCAGTGGAGCACGTCCAGACGATTCATCACGGCACCGGGTTGCTCAAGGCAGGAGCGGCAACGCGTGTGAGCATGGGGAAGCAGAACGTGGCTCAGGTCTGGAAGGAGTTTGGGCTGTGATTGGTTCGTCGGGAGGGTGGTGCTTCGGAGATTATCAGCGCCAGGAACGTTAACACGGAAAGAGGAGGGGAGGTTGTCTTTCTCAGCCACGTTACGAGAGGGTGGCAGTTGCAATACGGTCGTAGCTCTCATGTGCTGTACTGCGACTAGTAAAGCCCGTGGATGCGAGGGGCTCCCCAGCAAGGGGTTTAATGAGTAACATACTGAATCTCACCATCTGCGGGGTCAATGTGAACGGCCTTCGCGCAGCAGCGGCAAACGAACTAAGAACCGGCGATGGCTGCGAACAACAGCAGACATAATGGTGCTTTCCGACAGAAGGATTAAGGAGGATCATAATTTCTGGAGCGAGATCAAACCGAAAGTGTGGGCTGCGGTCGGTCCGAGTCAAGCGGCAGGCGGAGTGGCAATCATGTCGTGTAGAAGGAATATTCGCTTCACAGAAGTCACACCCGGACCCCTCTGGAAGGGTGCTGGGTGTGACGGTGGAAGGAGGGGAGGAACCTTTCAGGCTGGTCGCGGCTTATCTCCCTGCACAGGCGTGTAACAGGGCGAAGTTTTACAGGGAACAGCTCGAGCCTTTCATTCAGCTTCAGCCGCAGTCATCGCACCTGGTGGTAGTGGGCGATCTCAACATGATCGCTGACCCGGATTTGGACAAGTCGCCTGGAGCGGGTTCGGGGAGGGAGAACCAGCGCTTCATTGAGATGTGGCAAGGGCATGACCTTGGTGACGCTATCCGTGTGCTGCACCCCACGGACAAGGAGTATACCTTCAGGGTGGCTGCCACACTGTCAAAGTCGGCATTGACAGGGCACTGATGTCGGCGTCGCTGCTAGGTAACCTCGAGGAGGCCCGACATGTAGAGGTTCCGCGCAAACTTTCCGACCACTGGTTCGCGATCAAGTTACGGCTGAAGTTCGCCTCAGCACGCATATGGCCCGGGGCTCTGGAGGTTCCACGCAACAAGGAGGAAAAAGAAGGGGGTGAGGAAAACCATTAAGGGGGTTGTGGACTCGCTAGACAAGGCAGGAAGGGAGCCGCTGGAGCGCTTGTTATCCAGACTGGCGGCGGCTCTAAGGGCGCATGACAAAGAGGAACGAAAGAGGGTGACGGCAACGCAGTTGCACTTGACGGAGGAGGTGGAGAGGAGGCGGCACCTCATGGGGGGGCCGACAGATGATCAGACTTTGGCGCGGTTGCTGACCAAGGGAAGAACAGTTAGAAGCCTACCGGGAAAATGAGCGGGAGGTCTTCGCGGGCTTACGACGGAGCTGCAGGGGGAAATCCCATCGCCGTACCTGTCGGCGAAGGTGAAGATGCGAAAAGAGCGGACTCTGATAGAAGAGGTGGTTTTCAACGGTGAAAGGCACAGAGGCTCACAGGCGGTGCTCAAGGCGGCATCGTTGTACTTCGAGGAGGCTTTCAGGGAGGTGCAGATGGAACCTCAGCTGGCATGCACGGATTTCGCGCGTGGACAGAGTTTTACCAGCGGCGGCGGAAGCGGTGGTCAGGCTCGGGGCCCCGTGGGCAAGCCGGAGGTCAAAGCAGCACTCAAGGGTTTACCGAGAGGGAAGTCACCGGGGCAGGATGAACTCCCCGCGGAACTTTTCGTGTCTCACTGGGACCTGTTAGGAGGGTGTTTCATGGAGTTTGTAAGGAATTTCGAGAAGACGGGCTTGCTGCAGGAATCACTGACGACAGCGGTGACGGTTTTGTTGCACAAGAAGGGGGATAAAGACCGGCTAACAATTACAGACCAATTCTCCTCACCACAGTCTACAAGGTGCTGGCGAAGGTTATGGCGAACAGGATCAAAAAGGAGCTACACCATGTCATCTCCAAGGAGCAGCACGGGGTTCGTACCAGGGCGCAGTCTGGCGGATGCTGTGTCGGTGGTAGCAGACGCGATTGAAGCGGCAGACAATGATGGCGAGGACTGGTACCTCTTGCTCGTGGACTTCCAGAAAGCCTACGACACGGTGTCGCGGCCTTTCCTCTTCCGTACGTTGGAGAAGCTCGGGCTGCCTGCAAATTTCATCAAGTGGGCGGAAGGTCTACACCGGGGTCAGGGACGAGAATCGCGATTAACGGCTGGCGCGGGGAAAAAGTGGAGATGGAGCGGGTGGTGAGGCAGGGGTGCCCATTAGCTCCCTACCTTTCCTCTGCGCTTTGGAGCCGCTTTGTGCGGAGATCGCGAGGAGAGGCTTGGGGGTCGGGACAGATGGGGCGAGTCCGATCTCGTATGTGGGGTACGCGGACGACACTTCCCTAATCCTTCGGGGGGCCGATCAGATCCGCTCGGCCGGCGGCAGCGCTGGAGTGGTTCGGCGAACTGTCTGGCCTGCGCATTAACCAAGATAAGTCGATCATCATGCCGATGGGGAGGAACAAAGGCAAGACGTCATTGCCCGGGGTGACTTACAAGTGGGCGGAAGACGGGGTTCCTGAGCGGCTACTGGGGGTGTGGATAACACCAGACGGCGACGCGGCTCCGTCCTGGGAGAAAGCGTGGAGAGGGGGAGGAAGGAATTAATCAAGTGGGAGAACCAGCATCTGCTGACGGCGGCAAGGGTGACAACAGCTATATCATGCCGATTCTCCTCTTCCAGGCTCAGATTATCCGCCGCGAGAGGAGCTGGGCGAAAATCCGCAAACATGCGATAACTACATTCCAAAGGCCAGGCGACTGCGGAGAAAATTTTCGTTCTGTGGAGTGGGGAACTGGCCCGACTGCCGAAGAAGGAAGGCGGCTCATCGACCCGAAAGCCAGACTGGACAGCATGGCAATTCGCACGGTGGGGAAGTACCTGACAGAGCAGGACGCCACCAAGAGGTGGTTGACTGAGAAAGGCGGCAGCAATGGCGCAAGGGGTGGCGACCCTTTTCGCTCACAAGTCGGCTGGCAACCACTGGGAGAAGGGAACCAAAGGTGGAGGCGATCGCAGAAATCTTCCGGGAGTCCCCTTTGCGGAGCTCCCGGCGCCGACGAACGGTTGGGAGGTCGAATGGGAACTGCTCAGTTTCAACCGGCGCATCATGTTCCGAGGGGAGCGCCTTAAGGAGAGAGCGGCAGGTATTCTGAAAGCAGCCTGGGGTTTGCTACAGCCAAAGAGGAGGGAGCAGACAGAGATGGGAGCAGACCAAAGGGATGGGAGCAGCCAAGAGGAGGAGCAGACCAAAGAGGATGGGAGCAGACCAAAGAGGATGGGAGCAGACCAAAGAGGATGGGAGCAGACCAAAGAGGATGGAGCAGACAAAGGGAGGGAGCAGACAAAGAGGATGGGAGCAGACAAAGAGGATGGGAGCAGACCAAAGAGGATGGAGCAGACCAAAGAGGATGGGAGCAGACCAAAGAGGATGGGAGCAGACCAAAGAGGATGGAGCAGAGAAGTCAAAGAATCGGGGCACTAAGGATACTTTTCGGTAGTGTGGCGACGGCAAGGTGGGCAAAGAAGGCGTCTGAGGCAATGCCGGCGGAGTGGAAGGAGATGTTGGCAACGCCGAAATCGGCGGAAGCAGTGACGGCAGCAGCGAAAGTGGTGAGAACAGTCCTGGCGCGCACGTGGTGAAACAGTCCTGGCGCGCAAGTGGTGAGAACAGCAGTCCTAGCGCGCACGCAGGAATTTCTCTACTGGACGGTACGGGGCGTCAAGAACGGAGAGGTGGCGACAGACCATTTAGACTGCTCGGACGGAATAAGCCTGGTGGCGCCACAGAGGCCGTACGCGGTCTCGTTCCCCGTCAGGAGCGTGACGCCTGTGGCGGTTAAAGGGGGCAAGGTACTCGGGGCTAGGGGGAGGCGAAGGTTAAGCTCTGCCAGACCGCACTGGTAGAAGATAGCCTGAGGCGCTGCGCCGAAGGTAATCAGGAAGGCGCTCGTGGGCCAAAAACAGAGTCAAGGAGGAGGCATGAGTGGGAAGAAGAGTGGGGGAAGAAATAGATTGGAAGGCGGTGAGGGAGAGGAGGGACTCACTGGTGATCCCTTACAGGGCGCGTGATGTGGTGCTGCGGATGCACAGTAAGAACCTGCAGGTGGGGGGGAGACTGGTTTTCTGGGCCCCAGGGGCTGCTGCCCGCACTGCGGAGAGCCAGAAACCCTCGACCACTGCATGCTCACTTGCCCAGTTATACAGCCGGTGATTGGCGCGCTACTAAACTCACTGAGGATGATGGACCCCGCGGATCAGACACGCTCATTGGGGGACATGCTCTTTCGGGAAGGGGCCACGAAGTCCGGTTTTCCGGGGCAACATTGACAGCAGTGACGATGCGAAGAATTCGGTTGGCCAGAGTGGATGGGGTGTACAGGAAGGAGAAATTCCAGCGGAGAAAGGTGGCGCGGGCGGCAATCTACGATTTCATGCGGCATGCAAGACTCTACAGAGCGGAAAAGCTGAGGAAGGCAGGGGGAGGCAATGGCCAGGGGGAGGCAATGGCCAGGGGGAGGCAATGGCCAGGGGGAGGCAATGGCCAGGGGAGGCAATGGCCAGGGGGAGGCAATGGCCAGGGGGAGGCAATGGCCAGGGGAGGCAATGGCCAGGGGAGGCAATGGCCAGGGGGAGGCAATGGCCAGGGGGAGGCAATGGCCAGGGGGAGGCAATGGCCAGGGGGAGGCAATGGCCAGGGGCAGCCACGGACCCTTGGGGCGCCTGGCAGGGGCGAGCGTGCGGCGATAGCGAGGATATGTGAAGCAGGTGATCAAGCCACGTGGAAGATCAACTTCCTTTCCATCTGCAAAACCCCAAGACTTTCCACCGCCCACCGTAGACATGTACAGGGGGAGGCTCCCGGGTTTCGGCTAAGGGTCGCCATGTCCTCCAGAATCCAGTTACGACTGTGAATGTATTTGCATTGTATAGTGCAGACTCATTCAAAAAAAAAAAAGAAAAAAAAAAAGTTTATAAAAGTACAATACAATCACTGTCATGCGAGATGGGATTGTACTTCCAAACGATTGGAGTGCTGGCAACGAGCCAGTGCTCAGCGGCAGAAAGTTATGGGCATGGCCCAGTGTATACGCATGAGCAAGGGTCGGGCCCAGCAGGATGTGAAGTACAGTTGAAGTGACCAGCAATGTATTCAAGTCGTGTTCCATACTCTTCTCGATGTGAAATATGAGTGCACGGCAGACACGGCTTAGCTGAGCCGGCAGCATTCCGCGCTGGTCCGCGACTGAGGTGGCTTGTGCCTGGCTGGCTAGCCAGCGGGCAGCCCGCGGTGGGAAGACTCAACACGCTGTCGGGCTGGCCTCTGTCTTAACCTGGGCGCTGAGCATGACAGGATTGGGGGAGTTGGGATGGTAACAGAGAGGAGCGCACAGTGCGTCATAATGGGGTGTAGGGCAGGGATCCAAGGGCTCTCCACCTGCCACTGTCATGCCACCACTGCAGTACCACATGCACCACTGCAGTACCACATCACCACTGCAGTACCACATGCACCACTGCAGTACCACATGCACCACTGCAGTACCACATGCACCACTGCAGTACCACATGCACCACTCCAGTACCACCTGCACCACTGTAGTACCACATGCACTTCCTCACTCCTATGCGTTACCCGTGCATGTCACGGGCCACGGCCCATGGCTATGTGTCATCCTTCCCACACAACCCACCATTCAATGCGGCCTGGCACGTGTCATCGCGGGTCGCTTCTTGAATCACTCCGCCACTGTGCTGCTTGGCGTCATTCACTCCGCCACTGTGCTGCTTGGCGTCATTCACTCCGGGCCAAATGCACATTCTGGAAGCCGCATTATCTCTTGGCATGTGCATTTCTCAATTCTTCTTCTCTGCCGTGCGTCTGCCCTCGTTGCCACACCCCGTGTGCCACGTGTGAGGCAGACGAGAAGATAGCACTGCTGGGAGCCATCCAGTCGCTGTTTGAGGGCAGCATGTACACCTTTGTCTTCTCTGGACGCCCGCCCTCGCCCCCTCGGACCAGCGCATCCCACACGGCTTCATCTTCGCCATCTTCATGCTCGCCTCCATGACCGGCTCCTCCCTCGCCGCCCGCCTCATGGCGCGCCCCGCCCTGCGAGTGGAGCTCTACATGCAGATCGTCTTCGCCGTCTCCTCCCTCTCCCTCCTCGTCCCTCTCTTCACCTTCGTCAGTGCTCCTCTGCGCCCCACCTGCTTCCCCCGTATCTCCCTCTCCTGCACTCGATCTGCACTCGCTCTGTGTGATACACTGCACTCCCTCTGTGTGATACACGGCTCACTCATCGCCTTCACTTATTGTTGTTTATTTCTCGACTTTCCATTGTCAAGGGGTTGTTCTATTCAGGTGCTCTCTCACCTAAAGTTCCCTATTCGTCTCCTCGTTGCACCACTACACATCCCCAACCCCTCCTTTCCGCCGCATCACCACTCCCTGCGCCTTTCCAGCCATCTGACTGTTGTGTCTCGTACTTAATTTGCCTTACTGCCCGTCCCTCCGCCCATCCCTCCGCCCATCGCGGCTACGCGGTATGCAGTTTGTGTTGGAGCCGGTGGCGCCGGGGGGGAGGCATCACGCGCGGGGGGCGGGTGCAGCTGGTGGGGTTCTGTGTGTTTGAGGTGTGTGTGGGCGTGTTCTGGCCGTCATCATGAAGATGCGCTCGCAGTTCATCCCCGAGGAGGCGCGCGCCACCATCATGAACTTCTTCCGCATCCCCCTCAACTGCTTCGTCTGCATCGTGCTCTACAATGTATGTGCGCTCTACAATGTATGTGCGCTCTACAATGTATGTGTGCTCTACAATGTATGTGTGCTTTACAATGTATGTGCGCTCTACAATGTATGTGTGCTCTACACTGTATGTGTCATTCACACCCATCTCCCCAATCCTCATTACATTCACCCTCCTCTTCTCCCTCACCCCTCCCCGACCCTGCCACCCTCCCCCCTCTCCCCCCTGGCGGCAGGTGAGTGCATTCCCCATCACAGCCATGTCGGCATGTGCTCCATCTTCCTCGCCATGGCTGCTGTGCTGCAGCGCCGCCTCTTCGCCATCTCCTCCCCGAGCAAGCCCGGCACGCCCGCCTGCCACTGTGAGTCGTGGGATCATGCGTTACTCATTGCTTTTCTTTTGTGAAAGTGTGCCGCCATGTGTGTGTGCATGTGCAATTGTGTGCATGTGTGTCATCCACATGCATGCCTACAGTTTGTACAATGTAACGAAGTTGGTGTGTATGTACAGTTCGTGTCACTCTTGTGTCTATGACTCTGTTTTGTCTACGATGGTTTTTGCATCCGGTACCATGCTTTTTCCACTCTGCTTTCACTACATGCCCATGTGCACTTGTGCAGCAAATGCCGATGAGAATACGATGCGGGAGACAGAGCAAGAACAACTGTTGTGAATCTCATGACTTGGGCAGTCTGAAAAGTTGCAACAATTTCATGTATCCCACCCCTCTTAGTTCTGCCTGTTGCGTAAGGTTGCAGCACTGCCACATAGACACTTAAGGTAGTTGGGAGGTGCAGTTGGAACTTGGAAGAGCAAGGGAAAGCAGCCTGTGCTGACCCGAGTACCCTGAATTGACGTCGGCCCTCATTTTACCGTAGTGATAGATGCATCTCTGTAATTTTACTGGACCGAAGACCCTAAAACCAGTTTCAGGATATCAAGGTTATGGCTTGGACCCTTATGGAGGCAGGCCCCTAGATTCGTTTGAGGTAGTCTGACGCCTCAGAGTACACCCCTCTTCCTAGTCTGGCTGTCAGAGTTACCTAATTGTTCTAGTCTGAAAATTCAGACAACACTACGTTTTTTACGCCGAACGTTCAGAGTTAAACACAATTTCTGTTTTGTCTTAAACTGAAACATAGAATAACGAGATTTACAGCTCTGACAAGGCGAATCTCTACTCTGACAAGGCGAATCTCTACCCCACAAGGCAAATCTCTGCCTAGGCAGGGCGAATCTTCGCCCTGACAGTTAGAATCTTCACCCTGACAGGGCGAATTTTCGCACTTCGCTCTGTACAGGGCGAATCTCTTCGGTCTGTACAAGGCGAACCTTCGCACTTCACCCTAGGCAGGGCGAATCTCTTCCTTGACAGGGCGGATTTTTGCCCTGACAGGTTGACTCTCGGTGTGATAGAGGGCAAAAGTGGTGTGACAAGGCAAGCGTGTGCCCGATGGGCCCATCTGACGCATCAGGGGGGTTCAAACCTAGCGAGGACCCTGCTCGGGAGTTTGCGGTGCCGCGCTCGAGAAATTTTGGTTTCCCCCCCGTGATTGACGGTGAGTGCTACACGCCACCAGGCTGGCGGAAACCGCGCTGTATTACGGGTTTCAGGGGGCACCCCCGATACAAGTATGAGGCTCAGCCTACAAATAAAATTAGGCTGAAATTTCAGACAACTCACAAAGCAAACTCTGAAAAATCAGACAAGGTACATAAAGATATTCTTAGACTTCAGACTAGGTACAAAAAAAAAGTCTGAACGGACTCTGAATCAGACTACAAAGTCTGATATCTAGGGCCCTGATGAGAACAAGTTATATTGAGAAAGCTTCCTTACTTATTTGTTGGCATCGTCTCATTACCACTGACTTACCGTCACCCCAGATATAAGCGCCACCCTGAGATAAGCGCCAGGCGCTTGTAATTGGCATATGGCGCTTATATCCGCTCCTCGATTATAAGCGCACCCCCTGAAAAGACTTATTATAAGCGCATGTAAACTATGAATTTTGAAATTGGTTCAAAACACTGTAATGATTCTTACTTCAGCAAACGGATGTGTTGCAAATTCGGTTCGCTTCACATTCGAACCCTGCACTCTGGATGCGAGTCCAGTCAGTAGGAGCTGTCAGGGGCACCTTGTGAGTCAGATCAAGTGTACCCCAGCGCCCGCAGGAATTTCACTGACACCATGTAACTTCGACCCGATTGGAAAGGCAAGAACGGGATCTACTGTTTGGTGTTAGAAAATATTAAATATATATATGTCATTTTATAAGCGCTTGTGCTTATAAATTTGACTCAATTATAAGCCCACCCCCCTAAAATAACCCTGTTTATTATACCCCCCATGGGGGCTTATCTGGGGGGTGACAGCATTACAACATTTGCATCGAGATTGAACATAAGCTAGTTTATATCACTAGTTAAGATATATCTCCATCCAAGTGGCATTAGCAAGGCGTTTTACACTGAGGTGGGTGGTGGGCATGATGAGTGAGCCGTTGAAAATGGAGAAACGTGGGTGCGGAGAAATGAACACCAACACACGATTTTGTAGTTGGAGAAGGTCGTTTAGCGCGCTTCGGCAATGCCAATTGTGCAGTACAAACAGCTTTGCTTTCACAATACACAACTATAAAGAGGCGATGGGATTAGCGGTGGAGGGGGGCATTTCAGAGAGAGAGCTAAAACTGACGAGGTTGGTGAGCGATGGGGCGACGACTCCATCGAGGGTCACGTGAGGGTAGGGGAGAAAAAGAGGATGAAATGAATGTTGTTTATGATCCGTCGCTTTGAGACCTTGCTATGAATTCAATTGTCAAGTAAACGCAAATAAACTCGAAAACTTCTAGCAGCTGCATGACTAGAATGATGGAGAAAGTACAAGTATCAGGGCATAGAATAGTTGGAGTTGGTGCCTCCTGTACTTTCTTTCCATTACCACCCTCTGCAGCTGCCTCTTCTCATTCCTCCCACACACTAGGAGTCAGGTCCAGCTGCATGGTGATCTGCTCCATTTGCTGGGACACCCTGGCCTCCGGCTGTTTCTCCCAGCCCATACATCATGCCCTCAACAAACTTCACATCCCTGCTGTCAAACAACACACCCTTTGAAGGCTCCCACAGCAGCCATCCCTTGCTCTCAGCAGCCATCCCCAAATGCACTCACCAGATTGCACTCGACCCCAACTTACTGCGGTAGGTCTTGGGGACGTGGGAGACTGCCATGCAACCGAAGACCCTCAGCATGTCCACCGGCGGCTTCCTCCCAAGCCACCTTTCCAACGGCACCCACGAGTCATCCCCAACCTTTGTCAGTACCTTGTTCCTAGCGACGGTAGCGTGCCGAACAGCATGGGCCACATCAAGTTGCCCAGCCCAGATTCTATGAGCAGCGCCCTAGCTGTCTCCAGAATTGTCCGGTTCGCACGTTCTGCTACACCGTTGGACTGTGGGGTGTAAGCCGTGGTCAGCTCCCTCTGGATGCCCTGCTTCTTGAGCCAGGCCGTCATCTCAGCTCCAAGGAACTCACCACCCCGATCTGTCCTAATCCGCTTCACCACACACTCCGCTTGCTTCTCCACGAACGGCAGCCAATCGTCCCGAATCGTGGAGGCGGCGTGATCTTTCTGCTTCAGTGGATACGCCCATATTATCCTGCTCTAGTCATCCACTATGGTTAGGAAGTACCGCTCCCCCTTGTGCCCTTGCACCGGCAGCGGCCCCACCAAGTCCATGTGGACCAGCTCCAACGGCTTTTTGCTCCTGCCAGCCACACTATGGAAGGGGAAACGGTGAACTTTGAAAGGAGGCAAATTTCACAGTTATCATTGGGTGGTTGTCCGTTCAGCTTCAAGCCCTGAACGACTCCATCCTTCTCCAGCTGCTTCAGCAAAGGCATTGCCACATGCCCCAAACGTCGGTGTGCCGTTGCCCAATCCGTCTCCCCAGATCTGGCGACACTTTCACAACAACCCCTCCAACGGCGTTGCACTCCCCCTGGGATGCAGACCCCTCTCCAGCCTGCCCCCACCGTGCCACGCCAGCGCCGGCAGCTGCCACATAGATCTGTACACGTCCTTGCTCTCGTGCAGATCCCAAAGCACCCGATTGCCCAGCTTCCCCTTATAAGTGCGAGCCCCAGTGTTGGTGTTCACCAAGCCTTGCCAAGCTTACAGAGAGAGATAAGGTTGGCCTTCAGGTCGGGGACGAGGAGAACGTCGTGTAGCACCACCAGCTTGCCATCCGCTCCCTTAAACGCAGCTCGTCCCGCACCAGCCACCTTCAACATGTGTCCAGAGGCAGAGCACACCTCGTTAATAGGTGCAGCGCGTACGTCGTCCAGCAGGTCCTTGCGCGGCGTCATTGTCCAAGCAGCGCCTGTGTCCAAACACCCAATAGTCCAGGGGGTGCAGCTTGCTCCAACCTTAGCAGATGCTTCTCCTTGCTCCCCCTTGTCTCCCACATGGAAGTATTGGCCCCCGTGTGCTCCTTCTTCTTCTCCGCACCGCCGTTGCCCTTCGGGTTGTTGTTGTCGGACGAATCAGCGACCATGTTGGCGCCGTTTTTCTGGTTCCTCCGCGCGCCGCCATCCTGGTGACGATTCTGGGGGGTCCATCCATCGGGTTTCTTATAGCACAAAAACCAGGGGTGCCCTTCTTTTCACAATACCAGCAAACTCCCTTTCATTTTGCCACCAGCACCTGACTTTCCCCCACGTCCAGATTTCGCACCGCGACCCACAACCGGTACCTCCTGTTGGTCGTTGGAGTCGTCATTTCTTTGCACCGCGTGCGTCCAGCACCACCCAAGCCACGTCCTTGCCACGTCGGCTCCCTTGCATCCCGTAGCCGCTGCTGCCGTCGTATCCACCCCTCAGTTGGCGGCGACGGAAGTCCTCCTCCAGAATCTTCGTCCGCACCCACTCGAGCGTCCACAAGCTCTGGTTCTGCGGCAGGCTCAATCCACTCATGAATTGAAGCCACGATTCCGGCAGCAGCGAGAGCATCTTCAGGCACTTGGTCTGCTCCGGGTAGGTGATTCCCGCGATCGCCAGCTTCGCGTAGAGATCACGCATCTTGTCCAGGATGGGTTGCACCGGCTCTCCCTCGCTTAGGCGCAACGCGGACAGCTCCCTCTCCATCATGAGCGTCGCAGCGACGGAGGTAGGGGCGTGCAGCTCCTTCACAACACCGTCCACGCCTTCGGACCGCACTCAACCTCCGGCAGCAGGTGCATGACGTGGTGACGCTGGTTCAGCTCCAAACTCTGCGACATCAAGTAGTAGCCAGCCGAGGCGCGCTCGTCCCAATCTTCCTGAAGGGCGGGGTCGCTCGGTCTAGTTCCTCCCCAATCATTAGTTTCAGCAAAACCGATCGAACGGAAATAAAGTTGCATTT